TGAAATGCCAGAAAATTATCACAGCGAAATTGCTGTTGCCAAAAGAAACTATTTTTCTTTACTGTAATTTTAAAAATATTTACTAGAAATCAATTGCACATGGAGAAAATAACATAAACAGTTAGTTCATTCTGTAGCCTTCTAGATAGACAGTTAAAACCTACTGAGAGTGATTTAACGCTAGGAAACATTGTATAATATCTTGTTTGCCAAGTAACACTGGATACCTGATCTCTTTCACAGTCCTAGAACTATTGTGATTTGCATCAAAGGAGTGGGATAACTTTTTAGTATTAAAAACTAAAAACGTGTCACACTTACATATATGTCAAACTATAAAAAATATGTAGGACGTTTACCTGAAGTTATGCTTCCCTTTTTGTCTTAACTCATCACTTTTACTGCTTGTTCACCTAACATGAAATCTTCTTGAAAGTTTTTGGGTTAAACTAACTTTCCACTGTTTTGCAGTCATCCAGCTCTTTGAAAGCATCTTATGAAGACTGGCTGCTGACATACGGCTTGAGTGTCTCTCCTTTTCACATGCGATGGCAAACTGCTCTCTTCAACCGCCAGTTCTACAATTGGGGGCGATGGAAACCCAGATTTCTTTATCTATGGTATAAATTCTGGAAAATTTTTCTGTCACATACTGGGGTAGTATTTCTCTCTGTATCTGTGCCTTTTGGCCTTAAAAGTACAGTGGATAGACATGTTTTTTTCAATAGGTCAATAAAAAAGCCAGACAGGTATGGTTGCCGTAACTGTACTGTTCCAGGGTAAGTTTTTCTCCTTTGCCAAAAAATACGTAGCTCTAATATAGGTTGCATACTGTGATGCTATAAACACTAAATCTGTAAGCTGTGTTTTGCCTATAGTTTGAACTATATGTTATTCTTAAGCATATAGCTATTAGTGTGTAATAATGCATACAGACATAGACCTGAAAGCAGCTTCTCGTATCTCTGACCTATCCATCACTGTACACTGAGCTCTCCCTGATCATGAGAGTTTACAAGCTATTCAAAGATCGATCTCTCTGTTGTCAATCATTTTCCAGATGTTCCTTCACCTGCTAAGGCTTTATAGACTGCTGGTATGGGTAAATAAGCAGGGTGGTTATGTGAACGCTTCTGGACTGATTTAGAAAATTATTACTGAATTGCCTTCCTCGTGTTACTTTACACCCACTCTGAAAATAAAAATGAGTAAGGCTTGAATTTCTTTTCATTTCTCGTACTGTTTTCCTCAGTGAGATAGGAATGAAAATCTGCTTCATATTGGTTCCTCTACTATGTCATGTTTTTTTATCAGTTTGAAATAGTTCTGTATCAGTCACAATTTTTTAATATGCATGATTTATTACAGTGTAATGTTTTGACAAGTCTCCTTAATTAACATTACAAGTACATACTGCTTAAAATAAGTTTGCTAATTCCCAGTGAGCTTCATTAAGGATGGTAAAAGAACAATTATGCTATTATGAGAAGGAAAGGGACTGGTAGTGAGCTGAAGTGTTTTAGTCAGAAGATAAACTTTACCATATTCTCATTATTGGGTAGTGTAAAATAGTAATAATAATGACTAATAAAAATTCTCCACTTAGGTGGACTGATGCAAGTTGAAATGATTTTCAACACTGATTTTAATCAAAAATGAATTGATGAGAAGAAAAATCTGTTTAAAGTAATTGATTTTAATCTGATTTTGCATTTGTACCTTTTAGTTTTTCTTTTTTGAAGCAGGTTGAATCTCATTTAGTGTTCTTTAGCACTTTTTGTGGTTGGCCAGGAATATGCATGATTTATTGAATAAGGTTTTATAAATATATATACTACCCCATAATTTGATTCAGATTCCTAAATCTGCAATAGTATGGTGTAATGTTATGTTTTTATTCATAGCTAGTGGCAAGTTACATTTACTGGGTAACTGAATAAAATTCAGAATATATAAAAACAGTCTGAAAATTTTTGAAAACATATCAGGATGCGGTGGTGGATGTAAAACATTTATTAAACAGGGGAAATGGTGTATGTTATTAGTGAATTAATTAATTAGTTTCCTTTAGCTGATACTTTCCTACTGGATTGTTGATACACTAATGGTAGTAAACCAGGCGAGAGCAGAGTGACCAGGTAAGTTTTGCTCTATAAGTTTGGTGCGCTAAGTTAAAGCAGTTAAATGTCCCAAGAATATACCTTATCTTCTGGTTGCGTGTTGCTAAACTACTGGCTTTTCTCTGTAGGTTCAGCATAGGGATGGTGTTTGGTATAGTTGCCATGTTTGGATCTGTTATTCTTCTTGGAAAAACACTGATGCAAACACTGACACAGATGCTAACTGAGGCCCCCAAAGCCCAGAATGATCGTATGCTGCAAGTTGTGGTAAGTGTTCTCTCCTCAGGTCTTCATTTGAGAGCTGTGAACTGATCAGCTTCTTGATGGGGCACGGCAGCTAATGTGATACTTAAATCCTCCCATGCAAAAATAACCTAACTCCTGATACTCATTCGCATAAACATTTGCTGGCTTATTGTCAGCCTTAAAAATGGGAAGTGGAGGTAGTGTAGCAAAGAAGGGATGAAAAAAGGAAGGCAAACATGTGGAAGAGTTTATATTAAAAATTCTCAGGAGTGAAAAATAGCTAGTAATTTTGAAAGGCCGGAAATTATCACAGTACTAAGAATACCAGCTGTGCAATTTAGAGGCGCTGCTGATCTTGAAGTTTGCAAAATAAATCCATAATCCACAAGAAGAGAGGAGCTTGCTTTCCTTTATTATGTTGCAGAACATCATCAGTGGAAAAGGAAGGAAATGTAAACAGCTTTGTGTGATAGCGGAAGGCAAAGATTCATCGGTAGGGAGATAGCGTATTTTTGGATCGCTCGAGATTCTCTGCCTAATTTGCAGTGTGAAATGGAAGTTCTTTTTCTGCCAGTATCAAGTTACAGGGTAATAACTGTTTATTGAATTGCCTCATGGATTTCTAATGCTGAACAATATATTGTGTGGTTTTAGGAAGGAATGTGTTTTACAGAATGGAGAGATTGCAAATATGGTCTTTTTTATCTCTTGCATCAAAAACCTAAGGCAGTACAAAGGAATTAACATTACCCTTAAAAGAGTTTTAACTTGCAAGAATTCTTAGCTAACCTCATTTCCTCAAGAATGTTGTCTGATCAGAATGTATGGTCATTTTTCAGAACACAGAAAGTCCTCTGAGATTGCTTTACCTTCTGCTGTGTACCTTAGAGCAGTGATGTCCCGTGATTTTCCTCTAATGTGGAACTTAGCTTTTCTAGTGTCAGAAGTTGGGGGTTATATATTGCCTCTACTCTGTTAACTGATAGGCCTTCCTGTAAGTGCTAAATTTACTGTGTACAGCTAGACTTAAATGTTGCCCAAGCACAGGAAGCCTGATAGTTAGCATGTACTATAAATCCAGTGCATTTCAAATAGTTTGGATTTGTTTCACACACGCAGAGTGACTACAGCAAGTGCAGTAGTATTGGCAAAAGCAGACAATGGGACCTGGGAGAGAACTGCTGGTACTGCCACTACAGTCACCTGGCCCACAAACTGCAGAATTATTTCCAGAAGCAGACGGGGTGAACAGGCAGTCTTGGTTGTATGTCCGATAGAGCACAAGTTCAACGTGAGACTAAGAGTTTCTCATGTTCAGGCCAGCAGGGTCTTTCCTAAGCATGTATTATGTTTTGGAGTAAGAAAAGCCTCTCTTACCTCTTCATTTCTGAGATCATTGTATGGCTTTATCCCATTCTGTGACACCACAGAGAAGTGGTCATTTGCAATACACTGCTCTTTGGAGAAAATAACATAAATAAGGAGGGAAGAAAACTAAAGCTGACCCTGTGGTAAGTCATCTGATGTGAATTGAAACTATGAAAGCAGAAATCTTGGTTAATATCCACAATTTCAACGCGGAGTGGATTCCTCAGTAACTGCTAGCAGCATCATTGCATTCAAAGCAAGGCCAGACTGGTATTGAAGAAGGTATAATGTATATGGATAATGTAGTGCTATGTATGGGGATATGTTTACTTTTCCTAAGTTGACTTGTGGTTCTCTTTCTTTCCTACCTCATTCTTTCATTTTTGAATGGTCACATTGTGTAATTCTGCCTCTGAAGAGTTTCAGTATTCTTTTTGAGGGTAATGTACTAGCGTAAATTGACATAAGAAAGTTATGCAGATATGGTCGCAAAGACATAAAGAACAAGTGAGGGGAGCCTTCTCACTTAGATTTGTTACTCGTACATTTCATCATTATTTGAGTGCCTGGGGGAAGTACAGTTATGTTAAAGATGCAAAACTATTTTTTTTACTCTGCTTTAACCTGTGGCCTGAATCTCATTAGCCTTTAGCCTTTGGCTTTAAAGGGGAGGAGCAATGGTTCTGCTTACGTTATATTGAGCAAGGTTTTTGTACCCTTCCTCTTTTGTTCAGTCATGTACTTTATTTAAAACACCTATCTGTATGTAACTGAGTTGTTTTTCTTCAGCTGCCCCCTCTTGTGTTGGTTGCTTATTGACTAAAGTGGGAATTAGGCAGATCAGTTATTAGCAAAGGATCTTCTTTAACTAAAGGTATTTCCGAAAGGCCATAAAATATAAGATGACAATGCTTATTAATAAAATACAGTTCTTATTTTCAGGATTCATCAGGAAAGTTAGCTTCCTTTTTAGGTGAATTTTAAACTAACTTCTTTGATGTGAAGTCTGAAAGCGTTTAGTGCTAAATTATAACATGCTATTGTCATTCATTGCTGTATTATAACATGCTATCTGCCCTCACCTGTACCCAGAACAGAGGGTCACTGCGAATGGTAGTTAACTGACTCATTAGTACCACAAGCTGATGCTGTAGTAATACCAGCAAGAGATGCTTAACAAATGAAGAATAGCTAACTTCATACAGTGAGGTACAATAGTTATGACAGTTAAGATAAATATCTTGATTATGGTCACACTCTGGATAGGATTTGTGAAATGATTCAGTTCAACACTAATGAAAACAATCTTCTGCAGGATTTCTTTTAACTAGGTTGTCTCACCAAGCTGCTTTAGAGTTCTGCCACATGGATAGTTGAATCCATGTAATTGAGGAATGGGTGGGATTTAATGAAGGTAGGATGAAATGGGATCTGCTCAATTGGATCTGCTGGTAGAAGAATAGTGGTCTGGAACTGCAGCCTTTGTGCCTCACCTGAGGTCAGCTTTAGAAAGCCTTATAGGCAGGTCAGGAACTTTAGCGCATCGCATCTTCTTTCTGTCACAATTCATGTCATGTTCACAGCAATGGTAACAGTTGTAGTGGAGTGCTCTTTGCCTCAAGTAGGAACAGCTTTGGAGCGGACAGGAGAGCTTTCTCATGATCATCAGCAGCAATGGCTTTACCTTCCTACTAAAGCGATGGCCGCTGAGAGGAGACAGGGACTAAGCAGCCCTCTATCAGGTGGAAAGAAGGGACGGTTTGTCATTTTCTCACTCGTGACTGGTTTGAAGCCTACCCAGCTAGTGCAGTGAGGGAGCTGGGGAATGGTGGGAATCCACAGAGACCAGAAATGTTAGGGGCCTAAGGTATTATGTCTTATGTAGATTAAAACTCTATCTGTATTTCATATGAATTTTTTTCTTCTTAAATTGCCGTATGTAGACTCACAAAACATCAAAAAATAGACTTTTTTTATCTTTTAAATTTGGAATGTTTTCATGATTGAGGGTGGATCTCTCTAGCTACGTGGCTAGCTGTGGGAAATTGTAAACTAACGCTTACAGTTGCTGATCTGTCTTATTTGAGTTGAAGTCTGTGTCCGTTCTTATGAACTTATGGAGCTTAATATAGAGTAGTACTCATTCTGTCATGATTGTGGGGACTGAGTAAGGAAGGGAGAGGGGTTTTGGGGTCTAGAGCTTTTCAATCTTCAGTAAAAGATTATATATTCAGTATATTTTACAATATACTGAATAAATTGAGGGAAGAGGCACAATCTGATGGTGCTGTATGAGAATGGCCCGTGTTCTGTTGCTTGTTTGAAGCAACTGCGTGAGAACAGCAAGTTTAGAGGCAGCATGATTTGTCTTTGTACCTCTTGGTTTCCTAGTGTTTTGTTGTGTTTTGTTGTCATGCCCACACAAACAGGTGCCTGGTGTAAATTTGCCTGTCAGCCAGCTGACCTATTTCTTCTCTGCAATCCTCATCAGTGGTGTGATACATGAAGTCGGCCATGGGGTGGCAGCTATTCGGTAATACAAATTATTTTTCTCTCACTGTGTGTCAACAAAGCCTAATATTCCAGAGTGTTTAATTACAGGCAAATGTTGTTAGCATTTCATTGGTTTATCTGGAGAGTACATTTATTCTGTTTCTAACAGAAAACAGAAATTTTGTAGCTTTTTTAGACTAAGTTTGGGAGGATGTACAATTGAGGATAGAGTTTTAATGCACAGTCCCTGTTGTGCAGATCATGAGAAAGGACTTTTGCTTTGTAAATATACTGCATTGCATCAAATTTAAAACTATACTTCTTTTAAGCTATCTTATTTTCACTCAGGAGTTGCATTTCTGTAGCTGTAGTATTTGCAGAGGACCTGTGCACAATTGCACAGTGGTACTTTATAATAGATTTTAAATTAATTTTTTAAACACGGCTTGTAAAGTGGTATACCAACGGGCTGAAGCAATAACTCCATCAAATATGATTTACCCTTGTTAACTTCAGTGATATGTTAATTTTGATCACAGATGAGATTTTTAACGTTACTATTAACTGTGATGATTACTTCACAAAAAAGTTGTTTGCTATGTTTAGTCATTACTGTTAAATGAAACTCTAGCACAAGAGGGTTAAGTGGTGGTTACAGGGATGTGAACTTGATATTCAGGTGTCCTCCACGTTTCTCCTGGACATCATAGGCGTTATTTGTCCCAAGGGCACAAAGCCCTCAGTTGTTTTTATATATTTTCTTGAACATAGGAAGTCACGACTGTGTCTTAACTAGTTATTACCTTTTTTACAAACCTAGATGTTCTCAATTAAAGGAGGAGTTAGGGAATGTGTTTCAACAGTCTATGTATTTCAGCTTGTTTTCTCTAATACTCACTGGGATTATTTGGGGAGAATGAAACCCTTGCTCTTGATCATCCCACCACAGGAGGAGCCAACAAAATTTTATTTCTTCCTTTCCCCTTTACAATTGCCTTCATGTGCTGCTGGCTAACAGCAGAGATGGTGGAAATAACAATATGGCTTTTAACCAGAATTAATAATTTTAATAATTTTTTAACAGAATGAATAATTTTCACACCTTAGTGGTGTAATGCTGTGGGAGAATTTCATTATTCTGGCAAATCACTATGACTCCCTGAAATCTGCAACACGCTTTTTGAATGTGCAATTCAAGATAGTGTTGGCTGTAAACTACAAAAGTTTAAAATATTTGAGCCAACGCTTATCCCAGAAAGGCATCTGTCACTTTATAGAGCTGCAGCACTTGAAATCAGCAATTGCTTTAACCATGGACTGGCTGATGGCAAGGGGGATACATTAGTTCTGTAATGTTCTAGATCCACTTTTTGATAGATGACAATCTATTTAAAGAATAGGCTACAAAGCCTTCTTCTCCTTCTGCTTGTACCTCCTACGCAAATTAAGAAATCATGTATAGGCATTAGAATGCCTTTTGTTAACTTTTAGTATGGGTAGATCTGATGAGTTAACTGCAGGGAATGAATGTATTGTTTCATTCTGATTCATTTCATATAATATTCTATCTTTTTTTACTGTATATGCACTTCATTCTTGCAGCTAGGATTATATGAAAAGTGAATAAATAAAATAGTATGCCCAGTATACTGTCACAGAAAACATATGGGATTAACTGATCCATGCCTGGTTTGCAGTAATCAACTTGCAATACGATTGTAATGCCTCTATAAGTCTCTTATGAAATGTCTAGCTGTATAAAACCTTTCTGTAGTTATTCAAAAAAGTGCCCTTTAAAAGCACTTACAAAAACTCTGAAAGTGATATGTATCCTATCTGTGTGACAATATCAGCTACTAATATCTTTAAATAGCATTTGTCCTTCAACCCTATTGAATTTTTCTTGTTTTCTTTTTCCTCAGATGACATTTCCCTCATTTTTGTTAGTTTATAAATTACTTTAAAGTTCCTTAAGGACAAAGAGAGAAATGATAAACCCAGGCGATGTATAGGTGTTTCTAGAAAAGAAAAGCTGTTACTTTTTCCAGATAATTTTTGAGAGAGTAGTTTGAAATCGAGTCCTAAATGCTGCCATTTTTTACTTAAAAACAAAACAAAACAAAAAGCAAAATACTGCAAGCAGTTCATTTGAAGGTAGATTCTAAAGTATTTTATGTGTTACTCTTACCAGGAGTCAGAAAATAAATTGAAGTCATCCTTTGTTTTTTACCAGTCTTGCAAATGTGTGTTACTTAAAAGTGGCAATTACTGCAGGAAGCATCCTTTAGTTTAATTATCTTTTAATCTTTTCTATTATGAAAAAATAAATTACATAGGTATAATTTTAGTTATTCTAGTAGTCAAAAATATCTATTGTGCAGAATCACTCTTTTTTTTCAGTTTGTTTGTTTGCAGTAGCACTACTTCTTTTTTTGTTTGTTTATTTGTTTTTTTTTAAGAGAACAAGTACGACTTAATGGATTTGGGATTTTTATCTTCATTGTCTATCCTGGAGCATTTGTTGACCTCTTCACAACTCACTTGCAACTTATATCTCCCGTCCAGCAATTAAGGATATTTTGTGCAGGTAATAGTTTGTGCTCTTTTATTAAATCTTCACTTAGCACAGTTATTAATTTTACCTGAATTTGTTAATGTGAGAATGTCCTCTGCAGATCTGACTTTTTTTTTTTCCTGAACAAATTTGTACATCCAAAATAACAGCTCTCAAGCGGGCATCATCTGCAATCCTTGATAGAGGATTGAAGGTTTTAAATGAAGTAGCATAAAAGTGTCTCTTTACTTGAAGTGATCCTTCTGTTCTGAACCTGAACTGTGTTGTCAGTGATGTCAGAAAATCTTTTGATTGCTACTGTCCATATTGTGCTGTTTTCTGGGGAAGAGACTTTAGTTTCTAGGAGCTTGAATGAGTACCAGTTTTCTTCAATGAAAAATGTTGCTATATCCTAGATCTGGTTCAGAATAGTTGTGCATAAGAAGTTTCACTTGTGTGATTGGAGAAGGAATGTGGTTTCTGTCTTTCCTCTCCCAGTAGAATATGCTCTTTACACCTGCCCTTGTGCAGAAGTTCTTCTATCTTTTTTCGATATTTCGTGTCCTAATTAATAAAACCTTGGAGCATGCAAGCTGGAAAATACTCAGCCAGAAGACCGGTGGAATGAAAACATGACTAGCTTTCATAGGTGAACAGTCTTAAGCAATTCACTTCCAATTTCTGCAACAGGTGCAATCTATTACATAATTTTCAGTAGTAGTTTCAGGAAAGTGAAAGTTATATTATTATACAGGTCACTGTGTTTTGATGTTGCTGTGTGGGGGAAATAAAGGCTAAAACACAAACATCCAAGGAAGATCACAGCTTATGGTTCCAAATAACCTCCAAATGGTTTTGATTTGATGCTTTGTTTACCGAATAGAAGACCCTGGCTACTGCGAAGTAGAACCCTTCCACTGCTGCTGTGGAAAGTTAGACTCAGACTGTGTTATGCTTCCTAAACTGCTTGTATTATTGATTTCTGGAGAAAGTAGTGGTTCCCAACCTATTGAAATAAAGATAGAGAAGCTAGCGTTTTGGTTTAGTTCTTGATACTGGTGGTTTTCTACTGCAGGGGAGAATAGGACAGCAGCCTGCCTGTTGCACTGCTTACATGCTCACGTTCTTTTCTGAGTATTGTAACTGTAAATTATTACAAAGGCGATTTTAGGCAGGGGATACAGAAGCATTTAGCAAAGCATATTTTCAAGCTTTTGTAAATCGGGTAAATGATAATAAATGCTAAGTAAATAAAGATAATTCATATTCCAAATACCTTAAGCCAAAATCATTCACTGAAATAGACTTTTATGAAGCCCTGTTTTTCAAATTAATCAATTTCCATTTCCAGCTAGCACAAACAGATCTAGAAGAGAAGAAATACCACTTTTCAAAAAGGGCTGCTTACATATATTCCTGCAATTATGTAGAAAAATCAGACTGTAAGCTATAATAGAAAATAATTGCTTGCATATTTTTGATGAGAAGAAAATGCCTATAATAATTCTTAGTAAACCTGAAATAGGGGGATACAAAGTAGTTAACTGAGGGATGTTGCAGGTTAAATATAACAAATATCTGCACTTTTATACAGCTGATGATGTGTATGTTTTAAAACTAGGCTGTTTGATGATGGTAGTGTGATGTGCAGTGAACTTTACTCGTTTTTTCTTAATTATCAGAGCAATCGAATGAACCTGTTCTCAGTGTTCTGAAGATCTGAATTTATAGATCTGAATTTATAGAAACATGCTTTCAGATTTTTGTGTAGTAGCTGAGTAAGTAGAGAACTACACTGAATTTTGCCTCTGTAGTCCACCTATTCTCTGAAGAGTGAAGAGTATATGTGTTGTACAGCAGATGGCATTATGAGTTCAAGAATAGTGAATGAGCATTCTTCTAAGACCAGTGATATTTTTAGCACTAACTTCATGCTTAATAGATAAAAGGTGCTCCTGTGCAGTGCATAAAATTAGTTCAAATTGTTGTATTATTTTGGGAGACCCTTTGTAATGCTATTTATTTTAACAGAAAAGGGAGTTAAAGATTTTTAAGATGTTGTTATAAGGTGTTGTAAGGGTTGTGTGAAGTGTGTCTTTTTAAATATAAAGAATGGGGTATCCAAGGATGACACTGTTTTAGCAAAATGGAATTGATTGAATACGTAATAGAGTGCCTCTACAGGTGTTCTCATTTACAGGCTGTTTTTTTTTTTTCCTATGGATCACCTGGGATGGATTTGATGCCTCTCTATTTTAAATTTCTCTACCGTATTCCACACAATGAACTGTAAAGATTACAGTATTAAGGCCCATGTTTTCCAGCTATTTGAAAGTACTCCTTGTCATCCTCCAGCAGTTCCATCAACTTTCCTTTTTTTTTAGTATTTTTTTTTAGTTTTTATCCAGTTTACTCTTTCTAGTAGCCACACAGTTAGAGTGTAATTTTAGTTCTATCTCAGATTTTTATCCTTTGTTAAGCTGGAAAAAAATAAAGTTTATTTTTAAGTTAAAAAGGTTTTTAAAAATTAAGTTAAAATATTTACCTAATACCTCAATATTTGTTGTGCTTTTGTTTGTGTGTGTGTGTGTGTGTGTGTGTGTTAGAGAGAGAGAGAGAAGAAGAGATTTTAATGCTGAAACGCTATATTTATCTGATTGTCTTTCAAAGAGATACAATTAAAAACTTGCAGAAAGAGATATCACTTTAAAAAAGAGCTGAGTGGAAATGGCAACAGACTCTTAATTAGAATACTCCAAAAATGTTTCTCATTTCTACAGCATCCGAAACCTTGTAGAAGAAGAAAAATATTTTAAAAGACCTAGTGACATATGGGAACAGCCAGGGGAAATAAGAGTCTGTCATATATTATGATAGTTATCTCGTATACAGTGCAAGAAGAATAGGTTTAAAATATTTTAAAGTACATTTACTTTATAATGTCTGCTAAATCTACTGTAAATATGGAATCAAATCAGATCCTTCTTAACAAGGTGAAGCACTGTAAAAAGGAAATCTTCAATATTGGAGTCTTCAGTATTGGAAAGTTTTCCAACATTGGTCATACAAAATGTTTGTCCAAGAACACAAATATAATGATTAAAAAAATCTGTATAAGAAGGTGTTGAAGGAAGCCAAGTATGTCTTGTGACAGGTTGTTTTTGTGCTATAAGGATTAGAGTTGCAAACGTTGCCAAAAATAATGAGTTAGGAAGTGGTGATTGCACAACATGGTGTCTTGAAGTGGTTTTTAGGTCCATATTTTAATCATGATTGTAGAAGAAGCTCTTTTTCTAATGTTGGTGTGTGTGTGTGTGTGTGTGTGTGTTAGAGAGAGAGAGAGAAGAAGAGATTTTAATGCTGAAACGCTATATTTATCTGATTGTCTTTCAAAGAGATACAATTAAAAACTTGCAGAAAGAGATATCACTTTAAAAAAGAGCTGAGTGGAAATGGCAACAGACTCTTAATTAGAATACTCCAAAAATGTTTCTCATTTCTACAGCATCCGAAACCTTGTAGAAGAAGAAAAATATTTTAAAAGACCTAGTGACATATGGGAACAGCCAGGGGAAATAAGAGTCTGTCATATATTATGATAGTTATCTCGTATACAGTGCAAGAAGAATAGGTTTAAAATATTTTAAAGTACATTTACTTTATAATGTCTGCTAAATCTACTGTAAATATGGAATCAAATCAGATCCTTCTTAACAAGGTGAAGCACTGTAAAAAGGAAATCTTCAATATTGGAGTCTTCAGTATTGGAAAGTTTTCCAACATTGGTCATACAAAATGTTTGTCCAAGAACACAAATATAATGATTAAAAAAATCTGTATAAGAAGGTGTTGAAGGAAGCCAAGTATGTCTTGTGACAGGTTGTTTTTGTGCTATAAGGATTAGAGTTGCAAACGTTGCCAAAAATAATGAGTTAGGAAGTGGTGATTGCACAACATGGTGTCTTGAAGTGGTTTTTAGGTCCATATTTTAATCATGATTGTAGAAGAAGCTCTTTTTCTAATGTTGTTTGCCACATGTACATGAATTCTCATTTTAAAAGGATTGATCCAATGTAGATAACCATGGAAAAGACTCAGTTGCAACTAAGTTTAGTACATCTTGCTGGCTAAAAGCATATAGTAGTTCATATTCATATTAAAGTTCATTTATTAAAATTTCTTAAATTCAGCATTTTATTGTGCTGAAAAGTGACAAATGATACATTTCTTTTCACTGGGTTTTTTAATGTTTGTAATTTATGACAACTTTTTGAATAGAAACTGTAATTTAACAGTAGATTCAGAACACCAGTGTTTTACATATGGATACTCTGCCCAGTATGTACTTGTATCAGTAATGATGTGATGAAAAATCAGTATGATAGAATAACACCTTAAAAATGGACCTACAGCTTGCCTGTATTTTCCAGTAGTGTAATGCTCAGGAGTTTGGAGGATTCTCTAAAGCTGCCGACCCTACAAGTGAAATCAAAGAGTTCACTTAAGCGTGTAAAGTAATACACATATTCTTCTTTCATGCCTGTATTCATAAATTAACCTTTCAACGATTCTTACAGTAATTATTTCAGGAAGATTAATTAAAAGGTAAGTGTAATATCTTGCATTTCAAAAAATACCTTTTTTGTAATTACTATTAGTGTTTATTCAGAAACTTTTTGTATTTCTTTTTTTAGGAGTGTGGCATAACTTTGTTCTTGGTGTTGCAAGTCTCATGGTTTTGTTTCTGCTACCAGTCATTCTTTTCCCTTTCTATTACACGGGTGTTGGGGCACTTGTCACGGAAGTCACAGAGGTAGGAAAAGATCTTGAATGATTTCGTATTATGTGCTTTGTGACCAGAATTGTACCAATGTCTGTTATTATCACAAGTAAGTTTGATCTTTGCAGCACTCTGCAAAATCCAATACATTGTGCTTTTTGTCTGCTTAAAATCTGCCTCTCTGGCTAATGGTTCTTAATATTAGTAAATGAATAAACATGATATGAATAATTATAGACTATTCAGCATACTATAAAACTGTTTAGCCATACTATAAAACTGTTTAGCCATTTGAGATGAATTTGCAGGCTTATTTCTGTTTATTTTACACATTTTTTGTCAGTACTGGGACCAAGGAAATCTACCTGAAACTATATCATTGCTCTAGATATTGCTGTCTGTTTTTAATGTTAGAAATTATTTTGAGCTGATTTCCTTGCTTATTTGGTCAGTAGAAGCTGGAAGCAGAGAAAGGGTAGAATGCTGAGTTTCTGGAAAGCACTGGTTTTTCTGACTTAATCAAATATAGCATGATTGAAGAGCAGAGCTGGGAGAATTCAGTCCTCCTTGGATTAAAAAAATGAACTGATATAACGCAGGAGGAGAATGACATTTATTGTGCTTTCTACCTACAGAAGTACAGGTATACCTTGCTTTGCTGGAAGATTTAGGGTATTAATTTAAGCTTCTTGAACTTAAAATTATAGGAAAAAACACAACATTAACTGGTATGAAAATAATTGCTCAAATTTAAAAAGGTCCCCTTGATCACTTGGAGACTTGGCTTTTTTTTTTTATACTAAGTTGTTCTTCATGGAGAATGTTGTTTTTGTAACGTTTTACTTTAAGTTAAAATAATCACTTCTATTAAAGCCTGAGATTTTCTGTTTCTGCAAAAATAATTTCTCAGCCTAAACATTTCATGGAGGTTCAGCAGAACTGTAAACGAATACTTGTAGTTTTAACAATAATAACATGACTGACATCACTTTTTCTTCTCAGGACTCTCCTGCCAATGGACCAAGAGGTCTTTTTGTGGGAGATCTTGTCACTAGCCTACAAGACTGCTCAGTTTACAGTGTGGAAGACTGGAATTCCTGTCTAGGAGACATTTCACAGAAGTCACAGATTGGCTACTGTATAAATGCAGCAACCCTACAGCAATTAAGTTTTCCAGCTAGAGGTATGACTATAGGTGCTCTCTTCATTATTTTAGATTGTAATTTTATCATATATCTTGAAGACTCTTTTGGATTGAGGATTTGTTAGTGGGACAGCTTTTTGGTAAGTCAAACCTGCTATCCTGTCTTAAGCAATGACAGTATGCCATTCCTTTGTGTGGAATGCTCTAGGGAAGGCGAGAAAGAGAAAAGGTGAATTTCTCTTGTCTTCCTGTTGTGCTATATGAATATACTGTATGGTCTGAATAATGAAATTTACCTCTCCAGGATACTGCATAATTTGGTTATTACCAGTAATACAATTGTCTCCTATATTTTTTTTGTTCAGTTATATGGATCAGCTCAGTGATCCTTTGCAGATATAAATCCCACATATTGCCTTATTGCTCTGATCTGTGTGACATTACAAATTATGTGGCTTAAGTTAATGATGTGCTTTATTATGGCCACTTCTAATCTGTTTCACTATACAGGTTTTATGCTTCATTTGCTTCTCCAGGCTTGCAGTGTCTGTGCCTATAAACTTAGTTCTATCTGGATTTCACATACTTATTCTAGAATCGAGTTTATTTCCTTCTGTTCATTTATACATTAGATTGCTTGTTGCCCCGAGAAACAAAAAAATAGAAACTGAACTAAGCTAGAAAAATAAAAAAAAATTAAGTAGAACAGAAATAAACAGTCAAATTAAATTGGCTGAATGTCTTGTGACATGCCCTAAAGCACTCTAGAGTTTGGTTCATGCAAGCATCCGTGGAGACTGAATTCCAAAGGTAAGAGGCTGCAGCTAAGCAAAACCTATTTAATGCTATTCAGAGCTTTAGAACTGTCAATGAAATTTTTTTCCATCTCACTAAGAGTAAAGAGGAGGTCAGGCAGCTTGAGTACCCATGTTTTTTGATGCATTTTCGTTCTTATGCGACACTGAAAAGATACCTTTTTGATTTTTTTCATATGTAAGGAGAGTAATCTTACAGCTGGAACTAAGATAAATATTTAAACAGAAAACTAGAGGAGCATGGGTAAGATCCTGGCATTTAGATATCTAATAGTTTGGATTATCTTCTGAAGATGAGGGGCAACTTTGGCACATGTTCTCAGCTGGGCTGGGACAGCAAGTGAGAACCAGTTCCTAGATCCTAAAAGATTTATGTGCTGAGATTCTGTTGCCCTCAGAAATGCAATTGTAGAGTCATGGATAATAAAACTGCATATTCTGCAGCAGAACCAGTTCTATTTAGATGGAAATGCTAGAGACTTAATATTGCTTCTCAGCTTGGTTGCTGTGTTGCGTTAGCAGCCCATTGTCCCATTGCTGCTTTCTAATCAGACCAGACTGTCTGCATTTCCGAACTACAAACCTCCAGCAGTGAGAAATATTGCTCTGAAAATGAACTCTGTTCAGTCTCAGCAGCTGTCATTTGTCAAAATCTTGACAGTTCACAATTAGACGTAAATACAGAGTATCAATAAAAATGTGTATAGCAAATGGACTCCATCTACTTGACCATAAAACAAACAGAGAATAAACTATTTAAGATAAGTATGAAGCTAGACTGAAAACAATGCCCCAAAGAGCTTCCTGACATTTAGGAAAAAAAAGGACAAGAGTTTTCAATGTAGTTTATAAGGAAACTAATTTCTAATTTTATGGTCATTCACTGTTTGGAAATATATATGGTTGCTTAGCCTCAGGGTACTTGAAACAAAAGATTGTAAGCTTCGGGCATAAAGCTCCCTATTAATGGACTGCAAAGTATGAAGAGATAAATAGGCAACCAGTATCTCAGCCCTGATCTCCCTGAGGGAGGCAATGCAATGCTGCTGCAACACAGATTTTTATGGTGACATTCTTTTGTGGTTTTTTTTTAAACTTTTTGTTGTGGTTAGTGAAATTTGATTCCGCTAAAGAGTATCCATACAAAGATTCTGTACCACGTTACAGCTAAATCAATTTTAAAATATCATTTATCCACTGCTGTAGCTTTGAAGACTTGGCAAGCTTTCAAAGCCTGAATCTCATAAAAGCTTTTCACATTTTAGACAGGACGTTTTGAGCTTTGGTCATTTCCACAGTCAGCTGCTGTAATCAGTACAGCAGCAGGTAACAAATTTCTATGCTAGCAGTTAATTCTAGCTAGATGCAACAGATAACAGTATTCTTTTAACTCATAATGCTCAGTACGTTGTAGTAGTAGGTCCCTAGGCTCTGAAGGATATTTTTTAAGATGAAAAAATGAGTATGTGAGAGAGATGATTGAAATCAGGTGACATTCTTAAAATGGTGGAAACTTGTTTTCAGCTGTGACTGAACCACAACCAGGCTTTGTGAAGTACTGTAATTCCTGAAGGCTACAGTATGACTGTTTTGTTTTATTCAGAAAATTTTATTTCTTTTCAGGAAGTTAGTGTAACTCTTGCTCTATGTTCTTTAGTCTATAGAAGACTCGATGGCACAGTTGAATGTTGTAGTAACAACAGCCTCACAGACATTTGCTTTTCATACAGCAATAACTTGGACAGCCACTTGGTAAGTTACTTAAGCTGATAATTCGGTTTGGTAAATCTAAAATTGTTAAAATGAAACTAGTAATGTTTACCAACATCATGCAGCATACTTAAGTGTTTAAGAATACCTAAAGTTTGTAATAAAGGTGTATGAATATATTACAGCTAAGAAAAACAAAATTTTGGTTATGATTTTTTTCCCATGCTCAAACAAGGAATCTGTGGAAGATCCAGAAGAGATCTTACACCCCTGATTCCTTTAGGCAGAAAGATATTCCCTCTCCTTTTTCTCTCTCATTTCCACCATCTTCACTTTGAACACAGAGTATTTGAGAGTAAAAACAAAAGCAACTTTTGAGAACAAGGCAAATTCCTTATTTTGGAGCTCCAGTCTTTAACAGTACTGAGCACCCCCAGCAAAGCAAAGCACCAGACTACCTGTTCAGTTATCTTATCTGACGTCAGTAGAGCTGCTCCGTAGCTTACAATAAAAGCATTCAATAAAAGGTCCTAAAGATTGCCAAATTTCTCAAAATCAGGCCTCTGTTTGATTCCTTTTTTCATCACACTAATTTTCTTGTAGCTTGTGGAAATATATAGCTTCTTGGTTCGATTTTGCATTAGTCCCTTTAAAACACAGGAATGTTTGTTAAAAATAAGTTATATCCGCATTGTCAGCAATGGAATATTTCTAACAGTTCTCTTTACAAGAAGAAAGAGCACAAGTAACAATTGTGTAAACTTCTCTACACATGCTAGTTTGTTACTGTTCCGACCTGGAGTGATAGATATCTCCAGAAGCAGAAAATAAGTCCGTTCCTACATCTGCTGTGTTTACAATTTCTCTGATGTTAAACTTTCCACTCCAGTATGTTTTTGTGGTATCTGGTTACTAAGAATTGGGCACAGACCAACAGCTCATTTGGAATGTGACAGTGCCTGGTAACATCCTTGAGTTCAGCAAGATTTGATAAATTACTACCTCACAGAGCTTTGGCGTTCTTGAGCTCATAGCTACTGCTTAGAGCAGGAAGAAATAAAAGCATCTAAAAGCCTGTGACCTTCAAGACTTTGAGCAGTTATTTTAAATATTCTTTGCAGTGCTATGCAGCAGTATTTGAAAACATCTAAATGCCTTCTCCCCCTAATTACAATACAAAGAACTGGTATTGAGGTTAATAGAGAGCGACTGATGCACATGCATCTGTAGAGAGGAATGGCCGTCACTATCAGGCTAACAAGCAAGGGCATCCTCTTTTTTCCTAAGGCAAACTGTAGATGAAGACTTTCTTGTTTGTGTTGAAGAACAAAAGGAGAATTTCCACAAAGCTTTTTCAGGAGACGTGAGAAGAAAACCAAATTCCTGTTTCTTTCTGCTGTGCTCTTTTTGGCCTGCTTTTGAGGAGCAGGAGAGATCAGTTCTTTCAGACTGCAGAGTGAAGGATGTAACAAATCTAAATGCCTTTAGATTTGATAATCATTTTAAATGCTCTTTGTAGTATTCCTGTCTGCCAGCACGAAAAGTTATTGAGGCCAGCCAAGTTTGTCGAACCAACATGGACTGCCAGAAGGACTTTGTTCCGAGCTTGTGTGTGATTCCTTCTTTAGAGAACCAAACAAGGCTAATCAGGGTAAAACATCCACCTCATATTGACATGCTGTTTGTAGGACACCCCATGCATCTCCAGTACACAGGTTTGTATTACTTATTTAAAAATTATAAGAAAAAATGAATTTGAATATACTTTACTTTGGCTGGCTGTTTGAACAAGGTCTTGGAGCACTTGTCAGTTAACTTGTTTAAAATGGAATCCATTTCTTGTTATAGCCAGCAGAGAGATATGGACTACTCAGGAAAAAAGTAAATAAAATGTGCCTAAAATGAAATGTGCGCTGCGCAATAAGTTATAAAGGTAACAGAACCATATGTGATATGAGATAGTTGTTTATTCAGAAAAGGATGAAAGGGCTATTTCTATAAAAGATTTTATTCAGTCTAGTCATGGGAACCAGACACCTTATTTTGCAAACATGTAAACTTTTCAAAACACTATTGTAAAAGCTCTGTGGTGTCTTGCTCCAATACCTTGCCTGGCATGTTAGCAGGACTGCTTAAGTCATGCCCAGTATCTATTACAAATTCCCATGACTGCTGAGCCACAAGTATAATCACACCATAGTTTTCTTCTTGATTGTTTTTTTATTAATTTGTTTAATTTGAGTGCCTTAAATTAAATAGCATATAATAGCTTAGTTCCTTAATTTGAAATGGATTGCAGCTATTCTTTAGGCGACCATATCTCCTTGAGCCAGGTATACAAGGAAAAAGTAATTCTGCTCTTGGAGCAAGTCTGCAAAGTCTGCATCTCTACTTAGGGCAGGGTAAAAATGAGGTCGATCCTAGCTTCAGGTAGGCTTAGAAAAGTATTAAGTATTAAACTATTGTGCCTTTGAGTGAGGAAAGTAAGGGAGGCGTCATGCCTCCAAAGAGTATCTGTGAATCACAGTACCTGCCAGAACTACTTCAGAAGTTCCTCACAGACAAGTATACCTAGCAGGGAGAGTTTTTAAATACATTTTGAAGTATCTCCTTAGCAAGCCAACAGGCTCTTCTAAATAAGCAATGGACTTAGGTACAACAGAGCTGGAGAAACAGTGATGAAATCTGGTTGTATAAGTACATTAGCATTCTTACATAAACATATTTTTTGTTAATCTGTCAGTCTTTTTGTGCTAGGCATGTTTTGATACTCCTTTTAAAAAAAAGTATTTATTTATTTTTACTTTTTTTGTAATATACCCTCATTTAAGCCCACAATACGATCTCTTCACTTCTGCTCTCTTACCATTTAGGAAGAAAAGCACTGTTCTAGTTGATACTAAAAGACAATTCTGTATTTGCTGACAAATCTCTAAGAATAATATTTGATAATTATTTTAAGTTCCCTTGCCTCGCTCTCTAGTTTAACAACATAGACTGTCGGTACTCTAGAACAATTGGTATGGTTCTCTTTTCCAATATGTTGGGGCAATGGAGTTCTCCTTTTAGTAGGAGTTTAGCTCCTACTAAACTGTAGTTCTGCAAGACAGCCTAACCTGACAGGCTTTCAGAGATCATCAAAGAATGTTACTGCACTCATCTGAAGAGGTAGCTCTACTTTAAGAAGTCACTGTGTGAAAATACAACTTACACTGTGTATACAGGAGTATAATTTTACAATGATTTACTCTACCCTGGGAATTGCTGACTTCATTACAAACTTTACTGCAAACTCGAGCTATGCTCTATGTTCCCCTTGGAAAAATGCCAGAGAGAAAATTATAGGATCCTGCCTTAGGTAGAAGGTATTTGTACTGTTGTAGAGTTCCATGCATTTCAATGAAATGACTTGTAAATATTTCAGACTTATTTTGCACTGTGCAATACTGACTTGGGGACAAGAGGGATTTTTTTGGTTTGGTTTGGTTTTTTTTTGAATGTGACTGATCAGAATATGGTGACAATTTTTCTACAGTTCAAAAAGGAAAAGAATCTGTTCCTCTACTGTGTGAGTTTTGAAATAGGAATAAGTAAGTTCTAATGAAATGTTTTATTCTATAGTATGTATTCTATAATATGTTCTTCCTGCAAGCGTTATTTTTTAGAGTAGTGCTGTATTTAACAAGCAAGCTGATACAGGAATTGCCCAAGTGTGTACTATAACTTAACTTTAATAATGTCACTTGAAGTCATGTTTGAAAAACTAAGAATGTATTATTTGTTGTTTAGACTTGCATTGTTGTCGTGATAGCCCTGATTTATGGAGGAGTAATTATTTCATAATTTCATTTGAACCTAGCTAGCTTCTAGATACAAACTTTTTAAAATTTTATATCTATATTATCCATTTGCAAGGAGTGGGCTGTATAGTTTATTTCTATAAAATGTTTTCATTTCTTCAAAATAAAATATCCTGATAAAAAATATTTTTATTGTAATAGACTCTACTTATAGCTCTTGTTGCCATTATAAAAACCTTATAAAGAGTCACACTCCTAAGTGAATTTATATTGGTGTAGATTTGGCCAAACTAAGATGGAAGAAATGATTAGGAATGGATGTAGATCAGGATGGAAGCATTGATTCATTTTTTTTAACTAACATTCCCTCTGTAAAAAGTATTCTGTTGAATAGAATCTATTACAAACTCAGCTGTGGTTTTATTTCATGTGGTATTACTCAAGACTTTAAGATTTTACTTACTGCAGACCAGTTGTGTTCCAACTCTCTTTATATCGCAGAGATAATATGTAAGGTTGAAGTGGGGGGCCCTGTTATTACTGCCATGCGACTTTGTAGCATTTCTTTTCTGTTTTGTTTTTTGGGTTTTTTTATTGCTTCATGTCATTTCTGTCATTACTAAGTCTTAGCTTCCTTTTCTGGCCCTTATTCGTTGGGCAGAATCTGGTGACTGACATTTGTACTTGCACTGACATTCATATACCTCTTTCCAAATGTATCTTGTGAAGATGAGCCTGGAGGATACCATTTCTGCAATTCTTTTCTTGTCCCTTGAAAGAAAAGATTGCCTGCTATCATTAGGTTTGGTCTGTTAACAGCCCCTAAATTCACAGGCTCATATTGCAGCGTCTAGAACCTGGTACTGCGGCTTTCTGAAGAGTTTGTTTATATCTTGAAGAGATTATCTTGAAGAGTCTCTATGAGGATTTGGCTCAGCGGCAAGGGAATTTTCTTCTGCTTTGGAGTTTAGATCCATATCTGCTGGCTGTTGGAGACAATAGACCAAAGAGGGATGGAGATTAGTGATCCATTCTGAATGTAAGCACAGCTTCAGGTTCAGGATGGTGACTTGTTAGTGGCCATTATATATTTGTCAAGAGGCAGTCAGGCTTTGAAATCAGAGTATAAGCAAATAAATGCATATTGCAATATGTCTCTTTTGAAGCCTTTGAATCTACTGGCTGTCTCAGCTATTTTCCTATTTTGGCTCACGGATAAGAGGTCTGGTCAAATGTTCTGATATTAGCCTTCAGCTTAATGAGTTGTTTTCCTTGGTTGTCTCTTGACTTGGATATACCTGGCTTTCTGAGCTGGATGGTGTCCAGGATTCCTGTCTGATGTGTTCTTTGTTCTGTTGTCCGACAGACTGTTATTTATTCTCTCTCGGTTCCCCTAAGTCAAAGATCCTCCAGGTAAGGAAACAGAGGACAGTAATTTTTCAAACCATCTTGCTCCAGCTGAGGCAGTTTTCGTACTGGGAGCTTCTCCGCTTATTGGCGCACGAAAAATAACTCTAATTTTTGGACCCTTTGTTATCTAGACCTCTCTATCCTGTGGTATGCTTGCTTGTTCTTGTAATTAGTATTCCTAACTCATCAGAAAGGCCCCTAGTAACAGAAGAAAGCATGTTTATGTGCCTGAGTGGATCAGTTCTCTGCCTAGTGTTCCTTTGGAACTGCACTTTCCCCTTATATCTTTGTCCCAATGTCCTTAAACTGCTTATTGAGCCTGAGGAAACCTGATCTCTCTTTTACCTAAGATATACTTAGCAGCAATATTGGTATGGTATTGGTATGTTATGTACTAGCAGCAGGGTTTCCAGTGTTCTCTTAGCTTATGTTTTCAAAATTCTAATTCTTCAGAGTGGGTTAAATTGTTCCTTTCCCAAGGGATGTTGTCAGCCTTTTGCTCAAAACTGTAATCAGTTTGAACTTTTGAACTCCTATTCATGTACTTTTCCATGTATCTCTTTATGGAAGTGTTATTTCTCATGGCTATAACTTTTTTCCAGGATGGAAGGGAAAATTCAAGCTGTTAGGACTGGCCTTCTCAACTCTGCGTTCAAAGTTGTTCCTTAGGGACAGAGTAGCTATTGAAGATGCTATGTAAGCTCCTTCTGAAGGTGATTTTCTAGTTGAACCTTAATTTACCTAAACCTCGTACCTCTCAGGATAGGACTCCGTTATGCTACAAGTATTTCTTCTAGCTGTCACAGAAGGCTTTCAAACAGTCCCTGAGGCTCACAGACTGAAGAGAATGCTGTTTCTTTCAAAAGGTTATGTCAATTTTGTTGTTGCTGTTGTTGAGACAACCTAGATGGAGCAACTATCAGAGTGCGCTCTGGGAGATCTTAAGCTACTTCAGTTTTCTTTGAGGAGAAAGTCTCACGTTGACATTGGACATGTAGCTAGCTGCAACCTCACCTACACCTTCAAGGAAGTTATGGTATCAAAGAAGTGTTTCAAGGTGATGGTGGTGCTTGATAGTGCCATCTTACAGTCACTGTTTGCGTGAAGGATGCTGAATCCCACCTTCCATGATTTTAAATTACATGAAGTTACTGCTTGTAGTCACTTACACATCTTAACACCAGAGAGAAAAAGAGGCTATTTATTACTGTCTTCAAATGATATTGTAACACACCTGTGCATCACTTCCTAGCCCTTCCTTTCTCAAAGTGCAGCTAGATCTGTGTTCCCTATTTGACTGGGAACTGATATGCTCTACCTTTATATACCGTGAGCTGAGGTTCAGAATGTGAGGATCTCCTACAGGTACTGAAACAAAAATATTTTCTAGCCTCGAGAGAAAGTACATATGTACACCCAGGGTATGAAGGTATACATGTGGACTACATATGTTGAAGAAGCCTGGTAATGATTTTATGTGTTTTTATGAAAAACTATACAATATGGTCCTTATGGCTACAGATGTCCAGTTGTCTCTGGAAAGATATATCTTAGATCTGCTTTTACTGACATCATACTAATTGTATTTTGTGGAGTAATTTTACTATGTTAATGACCATGTTTAAGAGAGAATTAATGGCTACACTCTGTCTTTTAAAAGCAAAAAAAAAAACAAGCAAAGCTATATTTAGATTGGTTACTCATCCTGAAAAAAAGGTCATTCCAAATCTGATTTTTTTGCAAAATTATAATCTAAAATTCATAATATTATAATCCTGAAATGGCTGTTCATTTTTTGTGTATCTTTATATTTTCGTTTCAGTAAGTCTCAGCAGTTTTGTACCACGACATAACTTTCTAAGCATTGATCTGCCTGTGGTGATAGAGACATTTTGCAAGTATCCTTTGAAGTATGTTTGTTCTTTTAAGACAAAAAGTAACTGTTTAGAATTTGGTAACCCAGAAAAATTTCAGTTGGATATCATTTTCAACAGGATGCTCTGAAGCATATCTGTAGAGTTTTGTACATCTTTACCCCATTCTGCAGGGGTTATTGTCCATGTGCCAAACTCAAAATGAAATGTCTCCCATCCTTGTTTTTTATCAGGAAATTTTTGGTCTGGTTTTTTTAACTCTTTCTTGAGAGCAGTTTTTAGTCAAAGCAATCTTGAATTTATGGCAAGAGAAGTGAGATGTTGTTGCTAGTTTCAGTGCACTGGAGCTGTATTAATACTGTTTCTTAGCCATTACCCTGAACTAAATAACAGGTATGGGTGTTCATTTTCACTCCCCTTGTTTTTGCTTCAGAGAAAAATTTAGCATATTCAAAAAGCAGTATTATAACATTTAAAATGTGTATATTAACGTGTATTAATGACTGAGATTGCATATACACACACACGTAAAGGATAGTGGGCTTTGGATACAGCTAATCTAAGAACTCGTAGCCTTAGAAACTGAAAGGTTAATAGGTGGTTAAAAAACAGTTGAACAGTATAGTTTAGATTTGTCCATAAATCACAAAAGATGCTACGTGAGATCCCCTTTTGTGGGAACATGCTAAGGTTCCTGCTGCCCCCGTGGCTTTCTGAGTCGTATGTCGTCTTGTCTAGCCATTATACAATGGACGCAGGTAGCAACATTAGCAAACCTTTACCAGAAATATAAATGATTTATCCTTGCCTCATTCTCACATGCACATGCATGCACAGAAATTCACACAACTTTTCTGGCTAACAGGTAAGCAGGAGAGAGCTCAGATTTCCAGTCATATTCTAGCCATTTACTTACTCTGGAGAGGGAGCGTTTTGGAAAATATTCCTAATCATTGTTTCATACTTAGATCATAGGTCTAGAATGCCTTGTTACTTCAGGCATGATGTCAGAGTTATAACCTTGCTCCAGTCTTCCAAAACCACGCAGAGCAGGGGAGGAAGACGGGCAGTATTAAGGGTGTTCTTGCTGTCGCCTGTTTTCATCTAAGTTGGGAAGACTGCAGGTTGGTAAAGTATCTAAACACAGTGTTTGTTACTTAAAACAAATGAACCCATAAAGGCAGTTCTCTGGGCAATGTTACAGTGTAAAACTTGTGGTCCTAATACCTTTCCCATGAAACAGAATGGCAGCTAAAATAAAACCTTCGTGTGTCTCTCTTTGCATATTAAAAGTAAAAAAATAGGTTTTGTCTTGATTTTTGTTTTACATTTTCTTGGATGTTATTCATGAACCTTAACTAATGTCAATCAGGTACCTAATTTCACTGTCAGGAGCATTGGCAGTTATCAATGCTGTACCATGCTTTGCCTTGGATGGTCAGTGGATATTAAATTCTTTCCTGGAAGCCACTCTGAGCTCACTGATTGTAGAAAAGCAAAACAGGGAGCTTGTTGGCTTTTTAATTTTACTCGCTGGCAGTGCGCTTTTGGCTGCCAATGTTGCATTGGGACTTTGGATGGTGACAGCACGGTAGGACATTGGGTATGCTTCCATCAGTTCTCAAAGTACGCAGAAATAATGGATCCATTGCCTTTCAAAACTTGTTCAGTACTGAGATTGAAATAATTCCCTTAAAATGACACTGGAAGAACAGTCACTCGTGGCTACTGTTTCAACTTAAATCTGTACAATGTTGTGCCTGTGATCATGGAAAAACTGAAAGAAAGAAAGTGAGAATCTTTTTATATGCTCTTCAAAGTACTGTACTAATTTTGGAGAAGTTGCATTGTACAACTTCACAGGAAAAAGCCTAAAGCTTTGTTAATTTAGATTCCAAAATAAGGGAATTACTTGGCCTCAAACATTTGTAAAGTGGGAGGAAGAAACAGTTAAGTTTTCTTTTTTAGTTTAAATAATTGTCAAATAGTCTTTGTGGAGTCTGATCGTTTTTCAGTCAGCATAGTCTTGAATGTATTGTTTTATTTTTTAATCTGATGATCTACTAAACAGGATTCTAAGAAACTCTGAGGTCTGAGCTCATCTTAAAATGGTGAAAAGCTGAGTAAATGCCATGTGTTAATGAGGAAAGAGACGCCCCGTGCATTAGTATCTTTTCTTTCCAGCTGGTCAATAAGGCTGGAAGGACGTTGTCCTCAGGATATAGATGAGAAGTGCCAGTGTCTGTTAAGAATGGGGTATGTGGAGGATAACAAAGCCCACATGTCTGTGTTTCTTCAACATTCAGTGGTATGTTACTGTGCAGAGCTGAAGGTTTTTAAAGGCAATAGTTTTCAGCAATAGCTAGAAAATAAACTGGAATTATAGTTTCTGAGGTTTCTGAGTGCTGAAGTATGCTGTGCAAAATTATTCCTAAGTGATAAGTAATGTTTGTATTTTTTTATTCAGAAGATAATACTGTATTGTACCTGTTTACAGTTAACAGTGAAACCTGTTGTTTTTTTTGTGTCTATCTTCTGCTGCTATGCATGCAATACAGTTCATGTACAGTAACTCACTGATGTTTCTATCTTTGAAAGAGTTGTTTTCCTTTGCTAGGATTCATTCTAATCAAAGATGTTTAGTTGAAGCTGCTCTTGTACTGTTTAGAGGAAGAGTATGAATGTGATATGAACTATTTTAACATTTGACTTTTGCTTTCTAAAATGAATATGGACCATATCCTTGTTGTTAAATGAACAATGAACTCGAGTAGAACCAATATTTTGCTCTGAAACCCTTTTAAGTATGTTGTATTTTGTACTCAGTAGGGATATATACTGTCATGTACTCCTGTGACATATTGCTTAGTTTATATAAATCAGAGTCATTCAGATGTTTGTCTTTAATGCAGGCTGATATTTTCAAAAAAAAAAAAAAACTTCCAATTTGGGAGCCTAAATAATTGAACTAGAGAAATTTTTAAAAATACTAAGCAACTTCCATCTCATACAGTGCTCCCAGTTGGAACTGCTTCAGTTCAGAGTTCTTTTGAAGAAATGGCCTTTCCATTCAGGAACTTAAGTGGAAGCTGGAAGCCAAGCCTGCAAAAAGTGGCCTGCAAAGAGCAATGAAGCACTCACGATCAGCCAACATAGTCTTTTGGTGGTGGGGGTAAAAGCCTGCGTAATTTTACCAGCAGGATTAAGCCCTGTTTCTGGTGCTACTGCGTGGACTCACAACTCTGATGTTTGCATATGCCCACTGTATATTTTTTGCACAGTAGCCTTCACACTTAAAATGACTATGAAATGACGTCAACTTGGTTTAGGAAATTTTTTTCCTAAGATGAAAAAAAAGAATGAGAGAACATGTTTGTTTATTTGTTGTTTTATTAGTTTACTTCTCTCTCCAGTGCTATCACAGGCTTGGCCTCCTGAATTTCACTGATGTAGAGTAGCAGCCCCTTGCCTCTGATTTTCAGTCATTCCAACCTGGGCATGTCAGCACAGATCCTGGTAAGAGAGTAAGTCATCCAGTCAGTCTAGTGTGAGTCAGTCCCTTTGGGGACTATTAAAAGTCATAAAGAACAAGAAAGGAAAAATAAACTATCAGAATCTGCCGAAAGGCTTCTCTTTCTTCAGGAGGCATCAGGCAAGTCTAACTCATCACTCATACAATAAACTTAACAGCAAGTACAGAGTAACACCTCTGATGTGCCATTTTTCCATCTCTGTGTGGACAAAAGTGACATGAGCAGCATGGCTGTTGCATGAAGCCCAGCTCTGAAGCTCTGCTCTGGAAGTCTGTTCACTCACCTAAGTTGGCTGGTCACTAATCTGAGCCCTTCCTTTCCAGGGCATCGTGCCACTTTCCTCTGTCTCCGTATCTTGTCCAGGCTGTGCTGCACAGAATTAACTTGCATTTAGGAGGTTTAATGCAATTTACTAAGACAGCATATTCACTTTTCAAAAAGGCTACCATTGTTTGTGTATCTAAAGCAACAAAAAATGCATCTGGTGGTTTCAAAAATATTTTGTGAATAACATTTGAAGTTTGATACTTTATGTATTCAAGTTGACCCCAACTGCATGGAACAATCTGTTCAGCATAATATCTTGCCTACATCTCCAGAGGGAATATTAAAAAAAACAAACTTTTTTTTTTTTTTTTGGAATAACACACATGTTGAAGAAGACACAAGTTGTATCTTCTATAATGAGGCTGACAGGTTGTTCTTGGTTATTTAATGTGCTACCAAAACCTGATGTTTTACCAAAGGAAAATAAATCCAATATATTTTACTTTATATAATCAATTAAGGCCAAACTTGTATAGAGCAGAACGTCATGTGTTTGACATTAGAATGAAACTGAGGCTGGAGAAAACATTGGTGGTGGTTTTAGCAAAACACACTAGTACACTGTAAAGACTCTAATTAACTTCCGTGGGCCAGATAGTCCTATAAGTGTTTAAAAATAATTCATGGGTCCATTCCTGCATATGTTAGATTTCTACTAAATTAGGTTAGATTTAGGTATGTACATGTACTCTGAATCGAGGTGTTAAGCTGGGATCACTCAGTGCTCTTTGTTTAAAAGGTGACCCAGCGCATATCAGATATTACTTGTGGACTAAGGTAATTCTTGACCACTTTCTGAAGAAAAAGCTTTCCAGCAGATCAGTTTTGTTCCTCTGTAATCCTAACCTATGGATTACATTTTGATAAGCAAGTCCATTTTTGACTATAGATAGCTATTGGGAGTTTTTGCTGGTTTTTGTTGTTGTTATTTGCTTATGTATATAGCAAGACAGAACACAGCAGGCCATACAAGGTTTTTTGTATGTTGGAGTTTTATTCTGGAATATTTGCAATGTTTGTCCTATTTTAGTTTTTGTAAAAATTAAAGAAATCTTTATTTAAAATGAAACCTTTCACTTCTCATTCTAATTAGCCTCTCAGAATATAATGTATTCTTTAATAGAGAATCCATCAATATAATTACAGGACATATTGACTAGAGTGTAAAATAGAACACTCTTAGAATTTGGATGGATACTACTATTTTTATATAGTCTATACATTTTAAACAAATCTATATCACATGGAAAAAGTAATGTCTGACATTGGGAAGTGGTGTACATAGCTTTTACTTGAAAATTGTCAGAAAAATTCCATACTTTTAAAGGATTATTATTCTTTTTTTTTTTCTGTCAGCAAATACTTCCGTAGCATGTTCTGATAATGTATTATATGACATGAAAACTGATAACTTATTAGGATGTAGGATCTTACATGTTCTTTTCTAGCTTAGGTGATTAAAACTGGCTTGCTTTGTTATAAGTTGAATGGAAGAGACTTCACTAGGAAAAGCAGAAATGAGCATTGCAGATTACTCAGGCTCATAAATTTGGAAAATAAATAATAAATAGAAAATCTGTTAACTCATCCTTTTTAATTAGAATGAAACAACCGATTGTATTGGCAGTTGCATTTTTCAGTGATGACTGTGTGCGTGCGTGTACGTATATGTGTTTGTGTATACACGCACGCACACAGTCTATGTTGCTGCTTTTCCAGAGAAAACTTAGAGCAGTCCTCCATACTCTGGAATGTAGAGTTTGAGGTTTTTTTTTTTCCCCTACATATAAATTCTATGGTTTTCTCTGGAATTTTAAAATTGCAACTTTGTTCTCCTCGCATAATTGATCTGTAGGAATTTTTTTTAATAGAAGAGAATGGACGGATGTAATACAACCGCAGCTGCATGAGTTTTGTTCAGCTGATGTTGAAAATATCCTACTGTCTGTGAGACCTCAGGTGCAAGGGTGGTAAAAACAAATTTTTAGGATGATTAAAAGAGATTGACCTTGGAATCTATCGCTCTCCAAATGCTGCTGTTCATGCTATTCTGAATGATAATTGAGGGGAGTGAGAATGAGGAGAATATACTGAAGAAAAGAATGTTTTCAGCAAAGACCTTCCCATGGCAGTATTTCAGCTTTCTTGACTACCTTGTTAAAGTTTATAATTTTTTTCAGTTTAAACAGTCGACAATCCAAGTATCACAGTAGATTCCTATACTTCTTAACAGGATGGCAAAGGGTGCCTTGTAACCAAAAAAAATTATTTAATAAAAACTATATGTCTTCTGTCTGAAAGATCTGAATTTGTATCTGGATGTCATCTGTTAAAGAAGGGATATAAAGGATTATGTAGCCTAGTCTGCATTTGTTTTAAAAGTTGTTATTATAGCTATAGAAATGAATAGTTATTTGTAAAATATGCATTCTATACACCAGCATTCAGACCAGTTCCCACAACCAGTCTTTTCTCAGCTTTATTCTGGTGACCTTGTGACTAAGTAAGGTGAACCTCACTCAGGTAAGATCTAGTATTAGCAGTTATTTTATACCCTTTTTATCTTGACAGCATGTAACACTATATATAGATTTGTTACTTAATGTGGCCAAGTTATTTGTGGTACATATCCTGTATTAATGAAGCATTTGGGAAGCATTATATTAGGCACTGTCAGAAAACAGCAACTCTGTGACTGTTTCTCATGCCTTGGACACATCCACTACCATCGCCTGAAGAACCTTCACACTGCTGACCCAGTGTGAAAGGACAGGAACAAAGAGCAGGATATGACACTGCAATTCCATTCATTCTATTTACATCAGCATGAAATGTGAAAAGAACTTGTAATTAACATTTCAGAATATGCAGATATGTTTTCCTACACTTTATTAAATCATTCGGTGATTGGTGCTCAAACTTTTTTTTTTTTTTTTACTTTGTTGCTCCATCGAGATATATATATGTATATACACACACACACTGAACAAATGGTTTGGGTAATTATAACCTGTTTAGTAAAATGAACTTGGATATTTCCCACTTCTAGAGGCTCACTCTTAGGTTTGTTTTTGCAGCATCATGCTGTAATTGACTTTCACTTAATATTAATTTGAATTTTTAGAGGCTGTTAACAAGCCATCACCAGAGAAATCCAGTTTCTTCCTTCCCAAATTGTTTGCTAATATTTGTAATTCCTCTTTTCTTATATAACTTTGTTTTTAGATTTCAGATGTTCAGATGATCTTATCTTTAATGTATTGTTTTGAAATTTAGTGTTTTTTTCTCTACATAGCCTTTTTTTTTTTTTTTAAACACTGACTCACAGCTGTGGAATGTTAGGATTCTAGACCATTTGTTCCCAATATGCATTGTTCATGATCATGTTTGGGGGGGGCGGGGGAAGCTTCGTTTTGAAAATGTCAGCTAACAAGTATACAGAGCATTTTGAATAATGTATTGTGTTTTTGTCAGGCTTTTTTCCTCTTGCCATTTAATCAACCAAACAATAAGTATTGTTTTCTATGTATGATAAGTGTATCCTGCAAATAAATTCATTGTTTGATTGTTAATGTGCTTAAATCTGTTTTGAAAAATAAGGTAAAAATGATGTACTTCCTTATTTGTGGCAATTGCCATATTCTCAAATGGAATATCTTTATATTCTCTATCTAAGTACCTACAAGCTTCCCCAATCATTATTAATATCTGACCACTTTCTAGAATTGAAATAAATATCAATTTACCAAATTTACCCTGTTTACCAGCTTATCACAGTAATGGTTTGATGTATAATAGAACTAGGTGTCGATGTGTCCACACAGACTCGTACACATTATTCCTGGGCAAAGCTAACTTCATTTTAGTGTAAGACCCATAGTGATTACCTTATAGGAGCAATTCCCTTTGTCTTGGCCTAGCTCCTGTGTAAATCTTCTCTCCTCGAGTTGCAGACTTCTGTTGGTTTGTTTTTTTGGTGAAACATTTGACATGGGGTGCCGTAGTCAAGGTCAATGAAACTGTCACTTTGGCTGCTAAAGTGAGTCATGTGAAGAACTTGAAATTCAGATCTTTGAATGGCACTAAGATGATGTTATGTATAACAACCTTTGATTCGTATACACAAGTCAGCACAGAGCTGGCCACATATCTCAGCCAGTTCTAAAAAAAGTTTACTTAGGTATCCAGATGCAATCTGGGGCTGCATTAAATGATGTAATCAAATTGTTTACCCTTATTTGAAAATGAAGCTTTATTGCTCTGTTTCTTGAGCAAGCTCATCTAGAGTTAGCCAGGTTATTTGTACGAAGAACTAAATTGTCCTTTGTTGCTCATTGGACAAGCTGTTATTCTATACAAGCAGAGCTGTTTTAGCAAGCGTGGCTTTGTTCCCAGATAGAAGATTACTGTGAGAAGAAGGGGTGAAGCAAAGCTCACAGATACATCGGTAGGATCTCACAGGTAAGTCAGCATGCAATTTTATGAATACTTGCTTGAAAGATGGCTTTTTTTCTTTTTCTACCTTCGTTAAAGGTAGAGACATTAGTTTAAATTTTCTGAAGCATTTAAGCTTTTAAGAGGGTCGTGAGTTTCTCAGTTCATTTTGAAAATGTTATCTGTTATTCTGATTATGTGTGCTCTGTAGTCTAGAATAAAAACAGTGATGTCTTAATGTCATCTTGAGGAATGTTACCTTCATCACTAATACATTTTCAGGACAACATTTTAAAATAAATATTTTATCAATAATTTTTGCTGATAGGAGTGATTCCCTGATTGCAATGAATTTTTTCTGATAACTTTATAAATTAGGCTTAATGTATTTCTTCCTTTGATCATGCCAGAGAGTTTGAATCGCCAAGCAGAAGCATTTCTAAGCATCTTTACTAGATCTATATGCACTGAATTCACAATCTTAAGGGGTTTTTTTAATATGTAATGTGTTCCTTCCATATTTGTGCATTTTTTGTTAATTATTATACATACGTACTTTTGGCTGGGATTTTCAATGACTTTTCAAGGAGTAAGCTGCCCAGCCTTCTATGTCATTAGGGCATGGATATCAGTTGCTAAAAGCTAAGGAGCACCTCAATATGGATCACATGGAGACTCCTTTATTCAATATGCGCATGCTAAGTTAGGAAGTTACTTCAGATATGATGGTTTTGTGGAAAAACAAACTTGCCTAAAACTGTCTCTACGCAAATGTTGTAATGCAAACTTCTGATGTGAAATATCCAATAAAAGACGACAAGGTTTTATTCTAACTTAATGGTGCAAACTGGGGGAATCCATAATATGTTTAAGAAACATAGTCACTCCAGCTTCTATTGAGGTTTTTTTTTTCTTTTTTAACGCAAAGAGATGTGGGTCTGGTATTTGATGGGTTTTAAGGCATTAGTGTCCTTTATATAGGATTGGACGTTCTTACCAGTTATGTATCTTATTCCCCAGATTTCTGACTAATTCTTGGCATCTACCTGTGTTAAATTTGTTTTTTGTGAATATAGTGGTGGTTGAATACTGTGTACCTGCCAGTGTTGAGTCTTGAAAATGCATGGTTGGTGCATACTTTTCATCTGCCCTTAAAGGAATCCTATAAACCAAAAATAAATGCTTTTCTATTTTTTTGGTTAAATGTCATCCTTTTTAAATGTATCGTGAAAGGCTCTGTGTCTTTTCCATTTCACAGCTCTGTTTGTTAGGATCTCTATTAAAATATTACCAGATATTTTTTACAGTGTAAATTCCCCTAAGCCTTCTGGATTTGATTCAGTTGCCCACACATAGGCATCTAGTGTGGGCTGAGATATCCTAAGGTGTGTTTAAGTTTAGTAATTTGATTTGGAACAGTATTAGAGTTTTGAAACTTACCTTCCTCTTGTCTCCATTTGTATATTGTTGGTTTAAATCTTAGGGTTTTTAAAGACCTAGATCCAGGGCTGACAGATGTGGGTCAGGCCCTGTAGGAGATCAAAGACCTGGGCTAGCAGCTGGATAGTAAGAGGGATACCTGAGGGCATTTCATATCGCACCAGATGCTTATATGTGGGCAACAAATCAAGCCTGACTGACTTATTTTTATACCTTGATTTTCCTTCCCCCCCCCCCTTTTTTTTTTTTTGGACTCATCTGTTAAATGAAATATGAGGCTTTTTAACTAAGTTTTATTTGACATAAAAATACACCTAAGATTTTCTTTTGGTGCATAATAGTACTATACAGGCTATTTTATAAAGTTACCATCACAGAAGACATGCATTCTCCTCCTGCTGTGGACCTCAGATCTGGAAGCAGCAGAAAATGAGCACAGCAGGCCTTACCTAGAGCAAAGAAAAAGAAGGCTTTTTTATGAAAGAAAATACTGTCTTTCCCTCCAGATATGGAATGGCAGTACTGAGCATGTACAGATATTTACAGGAAGTGATGAAGAAGCCCCAGGTGGAGACAAGGGAGCATGAAGATCTAGGCCAGCAGCCACAAGTGGTGTGTTTGACTTTTTTTTCCTTGCAGAGGAAAAAAGGTGGTGAGACTCACATGTAGCAATGGGAGAAAATCGGGGATGTAAGCGCTGTTTAATACCTCTAAGATGAGTATTTTTACCCTTTTTTTTTTCCTCAATGCATTTATAAACTTGACCTGCAAGTAAATTAACAAACTTCCATCATTATTAGCAAGTTTGCATGTAGTAAGATGAGAGAGACGATAAAAGCCTATACTGTTAAACAGTAGGCTAAAAGAACTTAGATCTTGGAGTTGGTGACTCTCTCCCTGTTTGTTTCAGCCTTGATCTCACTTCAGTTAGTCGGAATGTGAAGTCAGAACTTTTGTCCCATTACACATTCCCTTTTCAGCATGACTTGACCTCACAGATGCAAATATTAAGAAAAAAAAATTTATAATGTTTTTTCCCTTGGTTTTGTTTTC